GCCTTATATTGTGCAACATGGAATGTAGCATGGCCTAAATGCCACACAGAACCCAACTGGCCTGTGAGACATAGAAATCTAAAGAAGAGGGTAATAATGGTGGTACAGGGATTGCAGCTGCCCGAAAGGTCTCTAACCTGTGATTGTGAGGATTAGCTGGGTTAAAACAATGCTTTCTGCTACTTTATTCTAATCTGTCACCCTTTAGGTATGTTGTAGGTGCTCCAGGGCTTCCCGTCCTGAACCTCCTAGTGCTCAAGGTGTTGGTGTCACACTCTCCAAAGACTTCATGAGTCCCTATCAGATAGCTCTCCAAGAGTCCTGGGTAGGCTGAGGCCTCTCTGAGACTGTGTTAACATCAATGTGAGCAGCTGTGGCAGCTGATAGCGATGGATCTGTTCTTGTTTCACCCAGGTGGCAGAGGTTACAATAGCAGTAGAGTGCAGTGAAGGTCTTACCTTCACAGATTAGTGACCAGCAGACAAGGTCTGCGAGATCTCTGTGCACATATTCAGGTTGCTAGGATGGGCCAGCACCTATGATACTGCATCTTCACAGCTCTTGGTACCTAACCTAGGAGCTTGTACCATACATACCCTCAGTGCACAGTGCAAACGTACCCCAAGAAGATCTTGGTGTTCTTATTATGCTTTTACTTTGTGTCTGAATGGCTGCTGCTTCAGATGTTGCAAAGCTGCTCATTCAGCAGGTTCACACCCACAGAAAGGCTACCATAAGTACTTCAGGTTTAATTTAGGTTTAATCAGTGTTTTGGACATTCTTAAATTCACCACTGCTTCAGAAGGCCTGTCTTGGAGACTGCTTAATCCTCTGGAGACTTCCGGTTGGAAGCACGCACAGATATTCACATTAAAATAATAGGTTTCTGTGCAATTCTGAGTGTTCATTTCCAAACAGGGCTTGATTGCTGTGTTACTGTCCACTTGTCATGGGTAGAACTATATTCTTTTTTAGTTTTAGACCTTTTCAACACAGTCTTCCTGCCTGACTATTGTGACTAGAATACCACTCAGGAGGGGACGTTCTCTTCAAAGAAAGGAAAACTGATATAGAACACTGAGGAGAAGGATGGTAGCAAAGCAGAGAAGTCAGGTAAAAATGCAGGAATATACCCTTAATAGTAAGAGTTATCTACTGCTTAAATGGGCTTACATGTAATGCAGCTAGCACTGCAAGACAAGAATGGTGTCTGGACTTTTTATTTATTTTATTTTTTTTTTTAGCAAAGATCACTGAAAGATTCCTTTCAAAATACACATCACTGTACCCAGCAGAGCAAAACAAATTGGCTCTGAGTTTTGGATTTCTCCATAATTTAAAACAGAATAAGCAAAGAAAAAAGGAAGCAGTGGAACAGTAACTCTGTAGTGTAAAAGAACAGAATTCAAAAGTGGTAAGAGGACATTTACAAACACCGTTATCAATGCCCAAACATTGCTCTACCTTTCCAATGAGTCCTGGATGCGAGTCTGTCAGTTACACTGAAGATCAGAAACTTATCCCCATATTGTATTTTGACGGATATTTTTCTGTGGTTTCATATTCTCATTTGAGGTATTGTCCAAGCCAAGCTCATCCCTGATGAATTAATATCAATGGAGTCACATGCCAGAAGTGTGTCTCCGTCAGCATCCATTACTCTAGGATCAAATTAGTATTTAATTGGTCCAATTTACAGAACTGACCCCTGGCTCTCACACAAGCAACCCAATGCAACAAAATATGGGCATTTCAGAGCTGTCACATCCTTCTCTCCCCTCGCCTTCCCAAGCACCCACAGGCCTTCTCACCCAAATCAGTGAGATACATTCAGGTAAAATATGCCATTTGGCTCAACCTAAATCTTTCCATCATGCTTCTGCTTTTCAGTGAGATCAGCCATCTGTATGTTTTTGTTCGTTTACATCATCCATAAACCTCATCTGGGGGCACAGAGTATGGCTGAAACCCCCAGATTGGGCCCTGCATTAGGGAGCTGTTGCAGAGGCCCTGTGGCTGCAAGGGAGGGGGAGAGAGAGAAGAGTCCATATAGGTGCTGGTATTTTGCCTGAGATCTTCATAGCTCTGAGAACACCAGCAGATTTTGGAGACACAGTGTGCTTACAAGTAGGTCCCAGTTTCTCAGTGTCACCATCTTGGAGGGACAAAGAGGAGCCCCATTGCTTTTGAAGACATATGGGGAAGCCTTTGAAGTCTTCAAGGGAAGACAAGGACCCTGGCTGGGAACGGCAGGTAGATGGCAGCCAGTGGAAGGTACTTTCAGTGCACAGCATGAAGTTATTTTGGTCTCATGAAATGCAGTACCTTTGCTATTTATCCTTGAGTGTCTTTTACTAGCACTGTGTTTTTTTTTATACTCACACAACTATAGCACCCACTGTAGCAACATCAATAATACTCAATGCAATTGCATTTGTAGTGGTGAGCAGGAGCTGGCCCCCATCAGTGGTAGACTGTTCAGTGATGACGGCAGTGTATCACAGAAAACTCAGTGATTCTTCATTGCTCTCACATGGAAAAGGAGCAGAAAGAGTAAAATGGAGCTCAAAAAGGCAATTTGAAAAGGCATCCCCATAAAGGCTTAGTGGTTTTGTCAAGGCAATTAAAAATATTTTACAAGTAATGCAGTAGGTTTATAGGAAATATGGAGATCTATGAATGTCAAGAGCTTCTCATCCTTATGAGGCAAAGCTGTTAGTACTGTACTTCTTAGAGTTGCTTCCTGAGGTATCCTGTGCTTAGCAAATTCTTCAGATGGTATTCTAGTTTGGCAAAAGGGAAATTGTGTCCAACAACATGCCATCTTACTCTTTTCAGGAAAGAGGTGATACAGGGAGAGAGCAGATGCAACATACTCAGTTAATATCTACATAAAAGAAATGAGCTGGGCTTTTGGCTGATCTCTGAAAAAGGAAGTTCAATTTGTTCGAGCAGGGCATTTTAATGGTTTTTAAAAATCCTACTTGATAATATTATGCAATAAACAAGGCACACATAGCATCTGGACTTGCATTCTCTGTTAGTAATTGTGCCTGCCTATTCAGAGAGAAACAAATTCTCTGGCACCAACAAGAGTGATACTTCAGGACTTTGTGAGGATTAGGCCTTGGTTCCCTGTGCTGACATTCTTTCTAAAGGTCAGTTAGCCTTTCCCGTGTCGCCTGTCAAACTCACTGACACTGAGCCCCTTTCCTTTGCTAAAGATGATTCAAGTCTTGGAATATGCTCTTGACTAATGAGCTATTTTGGTTTCAGAGCCAGCTGTTTCTCTGGTGCAAATCGGTGTAGCTCTGACTTGAAGTAAAAGGAGATGACTTCGGCTTTGACAACCCCAGCTGCTTTGCCAGCGTATCTGTTTTGGCAAACCCTCCTAACAGAAACACAGCTTATATCCAAAAGAGAGTGCTTTGAGCAGTAGGTCTGATTCCAGGTCCCTGCACGAAGGGATGCTGTGTGGCAGAAGTTGCTTGGCTGATGGTATGAGGCTTTAGCTGTCATTGCTATGAACATGATTCTTTCGCAATCACAATGGAAAAAGCTAGTCGGACAAATCCATTGAGTGTGTGCCAGGCATGAAGACCTGGCTGTATATTTAAATGCCCCCTACTGTCATTTTTAGTCTGCTTGCTGAAAGATCTGTGGGCTTCTCTGTTCATCAGTAACTCCCTGATGTGAGGTCTCTTGAAAACTTCCCCTTCTCTCGATCTGCCTTCCTCCCAGGCAGGTCTTTCCTCCCTACAGTGCTGATGTCTTTGACAGCTCAACAGCCATGCCTGTCCCACCAGATCACCACCATGCCATCTGCATGGAAGAAGCCTCTCCTTCTGCCCCAAGCTTGCCAAACCTGTGCTTTGCTTGTTTCTTGAATCCAGTCACATTCATCTTTGAGTGGATTCTTCCACCTCATCCTTCCCTTCCTTCATGGTCAAAGAAATGTTTCTCTCAGTCTATGTCTGTGTGTAACAACATGTGAGAGGTGGCCAAAAAAGGGTTACTGTATCTCCATTATATAGCTAGATAACTTGGGGCCAGCAATATCTCATGGGTAGCCCAAGGTCATAAAGAAAGTTTGTGTTAGAGCCTGCAATTCAATCCAGTTTTCCTGAATCCCAGACCCTTATCTTAGTCATTAGAGCACTCACAACAGCTCTTTTCTATACTTCTCCTTGCATGTACTAATCAATGTTTTTCCTTCTGTATTTAACAACTTCTGACATGAACTCTTTTTTGTGTACTCATATGCAGTCTGACAAAAACATGTTTTCCCTCTACTGAAGCAATGGAAGCATGTACTTCTGATGACATCTTGGCTTCTTCAGCTAACAGATCCTTAATTATTGAAATCAGCATTGAAACAAGTCCATTCCCATGACATCTGCTGATAAACTGGGATCATGAATATAAAATCCAGGCTTTTTACATCAGTCTGAACATACCAGACATTCTCTAGGTTAGTATTTGGATAAAGCTATCACAGGCAGTTTATGGGGCAAGAGTAGATTTTATACATATGACATATCCTAGTTTTAGCATAGGAATATCTGAAGCATCTATTGGTGACTCATTTGGTGAAATACTGTATCTTGAAGCAAGGAAACCATCTTGCTGATTGTGTTTCTGTGCTTTCTAGTATGTGTCATGGAAAAAATTGGCTGCCATGCCAGACTTTGCCTCTGAGGAAGGTCATATTCCTTTAGCATCTGTTGATTAACACAATACCTGAAACTCCCTTCCTTACTTTTAATTATTAAGCATGATTGAAATCTCTGTGGGTATTTCTAATAGTTGCTGGAATGCTGAGATAGTAGGTATTTACCTGTTCTGGCCTGCTGGGCTGGAAGAACCCAGCAGTAATCATTCTTTTACATTAAGATTCCCATTCTGATGAAGCTTACCCCAGAAGACTCCACAGTTGGAGGGTGCTATATCTGCTAACAGCCTGATGAATGCTGTGCTGCTCTTCCAGACCTCCTTCAGGGTTGGCTAGTTCTTGTCATTTGGGTCTCTCAGGCACCTTTTCTAGCACAAGTAGGATTATGTGACAGTGAAGGGCCAAAGTGACAGTGTTGTGGACAGTGGGAGAGTCTGATGGATCATGGTCCTGTGGTAAATAGCAGGTTGAAAACAATGTATGAGATACTTAGTGGAATTGGATGAGTGAATGGTACCTCCCTAGCCTGGCTTTCTCTCTGGGACTCGCAGGATTTCAGCAATGCTGTTCAAGGTTCATCTGGATTTTAAGAGAATTGGAACCCAGGCCAATGCTGTTTGTGTTACCACTGACTGAAAAATGGCTTAGAGGGAACCTAAATCAGCAAGTTAGAATTTTATTTCTGGACTGGAAAAAGAACATTTGCCTTGTGATTTCCCAGATCAAACTTTGTGTGGACATCGCTCAATTTTTCTTCATTATTCCTATAATATAGCTGTGGGATTTACTCTTTGAAAAAAACTCACAAAACCAAACCCAAACAAAAACCTTTCAGCTCTGTTATTCAGAGGAAAATTTGTTAGCAGGATATATGCACTTTTTACATTAGAATGTTTATTAGTTGCTCATTCATTCCTTAAACTATGACAGGAAGTTTTCTCTTTCTCATCTTTCCTAACCTTGTTCTGCCTGGGAAAGCTGATAAAAATCTCACTTTTAATCTGCAATTTCTCATCCTGTTTTCAGCAGACATGATGGTTGCAAATGAAAGGTGACCACAGAGGGAGTGTCTAAATTGTCATTGCTGTACAGGCTGATGATTCTTAGTCATAGTATATATTGGGAAAGGCTCTTCATAATTTTATATGCCATAAAAATAGTTTGGTTTTGCTCTGAGCCCACTAAACTGCTGTTTCAGCTGGATATTTGTTGCAGCTTGTTTCATTACAAAATGTTTGGTCATCTGGATAGTATTTCTGTAGCACGGATGAGAAGTCACAGTAGTAGCTCTAAAGCTTTATTAGGAAAAAAGTTCTACTGTTACTGCTTAGCATGGGATAGACTGTGAAGGAAGGACAGGATATTTGTTAGAAATGCCAACACTATGATTTTATTATCTTTTGGACATAATTTCTATTCAATGGAATTTCACCTTTCAGTAGGGGCTCTATATATGTAAAATATCATAGGCAAACCATGAACACCCTCTTCTAGCTTTTTCTTCCAAAGGAAATCATATGGTAGTTAAGCTTAACATTTTCTGAAATGCTGAATGCATGTGGGTGTGGAATTGAACATGCTTAGAGGCCTCTGAAATACTTCTACTAACAACCTGCAGTGTTGACAACATTGTTGTTTACTGTACTCATTTCAAAAACAATGGTTTTGTGTCATTCTCAGCAATATGCTACAAGCATAACTAACTCATGTAATGAAAACTGGTTCAAAAAGGGACTGAAGACCTCATTGTTCAGTGGAATACATAACCTGCTGACTGTTCTGTTCAATTTGGGCTTCAGACTGTAAACTCCTGGGTCAGGTTTTTTATAATCTTGGTGTGAGCTGACTGATTGAAGCACAGACAATGGAAGGGCAAGCCAAAGGCTCCAGATCTTACTGGCATATTGTTATATCAGACTTCCAATTTTAATTTACTGAAAAAAATACATGTTTATCTCATGAGATAGGGAAGAACAGCTAAAAATTGTGATTTTAATGGTGACAGGTGACAGGGGACAGGTGACAGTCTGAATCTGCAGTGCCTTGAAACAGAGGGCTAATAGATGTGAACCGACTTACCCTCTCAGGGTGGTGCTGATTTCCAGACCTGTCCTTCACTCAGACCATCAGTGGTGCAGCTCCTGGTTTCCATTTAAGAGGGTGCACTGTAAAATACAGAAGAGAGAAAAAGCAGAGATTGACATGGCCAAGGTGACAGCATTCCCCCTTTGCACTAATGATGTGGCCTTTTTTTATGAAGAGATGTTGGCAAGCTTTAGTCCTTTAGGGACGGATGCTAGTTTCCTTCAGGAGGTGTGAAAGAGACTTTCTATCTTGAGGTGAGAGCAGGGAAGGAAAGGCGTGGCATGCACAGCACTAGAATTTTTCTCCTGAACTTTTTTTTAAATAAAATAAAAATAAATGAATGATGCACTCACTGATACCTAAACTGATTATAAATATCTCATGTTGAAAACTGTGGCAGATTCACCCTTTTGAAAACTTCACATTTAAACAAAATATTTAAATTGTTTGAGTGATTTTCTTTTCTTTTGTAATTTAGGCTAACTCAAATTACTGGCATGAAACAGCTTGATTTACTCCAAGCATTTTTTATGGCTGCCCTCAAAAAAATGTTAGTCATCTAATTTATTCCAACTAATTCAAACTAGGAAATCTGCCAAATTCTTGAAAATTCTCCAGGGACAGGAAAGGATTATACTGTGACTTTGCTAGTGTTGTTTCTATTTAACCTGTTTCTATTTAGCTTTGAGAAGTGAACAAAAACTTGCAGTACTAACTGATGGTTTCTTTAGCACTGGGTTAACTTGGGCATACTTGTACTGGGACTCCCTCAGAAGAAAAGCTGGCAATGACACACAGCTCATTGAAAGGACAATTCTTTGATGTCTTTTACGAGACGAACAGGAGGGAACTAGCCTCACCCACAGGCCAGCCCTTACTTACTCAAGCTGCTTTGCTCTACCATACCTTTTCCTGGTGTTAAGGGGTTGTATAAGGAGGACACTGTGTTCCTTTCTCTGCTTCCAGCCTTTCTTCTGTCCTGGCAAAGGCAGAGGGTTATGTCTGGCTGCAGCAATGTTCCCTTTTATCTCCATGGCTTTCAGTTTGAAAGGGGTCCCTGATGGCCAAAGGAGTTGTGACATTATCATACATGAATACCCACTTCTGAGTCTATGTTGACACACAGACGTTTCGTGGTCTTAAATAACACTTGACTGGCATATTCTTCTTTGATGCTAGCGCAGTCATTCTGATTATGGCAGACTTCTGCCTATGAAATGCCATTAAAGAGTATGGGACCATTAATACCACCTGGTGACAGCAGGATTTTAAATATCTTGTTCTAATGTAGCTAGGGAACTCTTGTTTAAGAGACTATCTTTTCTCCTAATCCTCTTTATGACATGTTAGGTATAATTTGTAAATGGCCAACACTATCTTAAGTACTTTACATACTATACAGCATTATTTTTTAACTGCAATGAATTTAGCTTGATGCTAAGTGGATAATCCACCATTGTGCAACTGCTTTTCAAAACTTATTATTCCAAAGTAAAGGAGACTCATACTTACTTTTTTGAATGGCTTCTACAGCTTCCCACTCACTGGTCTGAATTTCTGGCTTACAGTTCCAAATTTTGAAAAAAAAAAGTGGGAACTGTCAGCAAGATGTGTGTTCTGCATTTAAGCGTGCAGATCCATACAGTGTAATGTCCCTGTTTTCTTCCTTTGCATGTGAACATTAACATTTACTGAAAGCCTCATCTTCAGTCTATATAGAAAATGTGTTTGTTCCTAAGTATCCACACATCAAGCATGCACATAAAAATGGCACTTGTAATGAGGCATTTTCTCATTTCAGTTCAATTCTAGGTACACAGACTGTTGCCTAAATAGGCAGCTAGCTGACTGTTTTTCTGATGGTGACTAGTTCGTTAATGTTTGAACCAACCAGAGAGGTGCAGACAAAAGGAGTTGTGTTTTCACAGGAATATTGTCCTCTGCTTACATCCCCAAGTGATGGAAGGCTTTAGTTATTTGGTGCAGAATATAACCAATGCTTAATTAAAAAAGGTTTCCTCTTAAATGACTTTCCTGAACAGATTATTTTTGTGTCCATTGCATTACTTATCTGGAGGAAGAATTGCTCTTGTGAAGTGATTGCGATTGAGAGAAGCTGTAAAGCAGGCGTAAAAAATCCTAACTGACATGAAAGAAGTGTGAAGGGAACAACTATTCACCACTCCTTATAGCCCAAGAACTCAGAATTGCCAACTGAAATGTTCAGGCCATTTTAAATCTTTTTCACTTGCTACCCAACTGAATTGTGATATACCCCAAACCACTGGGTGTTGTGGATCTTGAAAGCATACACAGATCAAAAACTAGACAAAAAGTCTGCTAGTGTGTATGAGCCTTCAGCTTATGAAATCCTTAAGTTGCAGATTTCTAGAAACGCATATCTATTTTTACCTTGCTTACGTCCTTCCTAAAAGCACTCGCTGATCAGCCACGCATCTTCAAGTGGTGTGCTGGCTGGGGGAGGTGCTCAGAACAGAATAGCTGTTCAGAGGTCCCAGGGATTTGCTGATGAGAGACTTCCCCGACTGGCGGTGGTTTCTGCATCTTTGTATTCGATATCCTTGGACTTTCTTGGTGGATTTTCTAACCTACAGTGTGTGTGCTTGCTGCTGTCCTCACATTAAGAATCGTACCAGGCACAGATCCTGGCAAGGTATGTGGGAAGGCCATGGGGTCTCTGCCACTTACTCAGAAATCGAGGCTCAGCTGCCAAGTGCTGTCTCTGAACAGCAAGGATAAGGTCGTTTGCTAAGCAGGTTTACTACATGGTTTAATAGATGCCAAGACCTTTTCTTCTAAGAATGTTCCTCCCAAAGCTTTTTAAGTGACCATTTATTGATGAACGTCATGAAAGTAATGCCAGGAAATAATTAGCCTAATCTGCGGGAACATTGCAGCTCCTGTACGATTTCCTTTTCCTTGGGTGCCCCCTCGTGTTCATCACTAGTGTTGCCAAATTCATTTGGACTGGCGCAGAAAGAAAAAGCAGTATCCACTTGCTATTACCTTATAGGGCTAATCCATTTCGAAATCCTTCGTTTCTCCCTCTATCTAGTATCCCTACGACTTCATCTCCAAAGGATCCGTGTGCAAATTTTCAGGTTGAATGCATAGTTTATGCCTTTTCTTGGACAGTGCAAAACCAAAGGCGGCTTCCCCTGCTTGTGTTTTGTCCCAAGCTATGTGCATTTTCAAACTTCTTGAGAGATTTTATCAATGCTCTTAAGACTTGATTTTAAGAGGAGCAATTCCAGCTGAAATGCTAGAGAGCTGAGGATGCTCTCAGCAGTTGATCAAACCAAGGGATTAAACTTTAGGCCTCTAGCTGAAAATATTTCCCACATGGGCTGGAGCATTGGGAGGCTCTGTAACCAGATGCTTTTGATATGACCAAAAAGCCAGAGAGTCTCTGGCTTTTCTGTCACATGACACTTAAGCATCTGCTTCAAAACATTATATTTATAGAAGAGGATCATCTCTTGTGAAAGTAAGGTAATGTGTCATCAGCTTGCTCTAGTACATTCCCTGCTGTGATGTTCAGCATTTGTGGGAGCAGAGTGGGATTCCCTCACATGCCAGAATGGGATTTGTACAAGCCATCTGCATTCTTCTGAATGTTGTATAAGCAGTGGAAAAAAGAAAAAAAAAAAAATCTAGTTTTGAAGCAAATGAGAACAGTTCCTCTCTTTGAAACCTCAACAACTGGATGTCAAACATGCACACACACGGGTGGCTTATATTTGGGGTTTCTGCAGGCACAGCAGGAAGGAAATTGGTTGGTGTGGGCTAACAGACATCCTGATTCATCACTTTTTGTCACAGTAATGAGAATAGAAGGTATAAAATATGAGAACAGGTGAAATGGCAAACAGATCCTTTCCTCCCTTTAATAAAAAAAGGCAAATTACTGCAGGGAATGGGGTTTAGTCAATACAATTTTTTAATTGATCAGCTCTTACTCTCAGGCTTCAGACAATTTATGAACGATTATTATTTTGTTAACCTTAGTGAACTGAGTTGCACCTTATTCATTCAGAACACTGAATATTATTGGTGAAAAAAAGTTTAAACCCTCTTGCAAACAGAAAGAACAAAGATCTCACAGAGGCAGAAAATGACTTAACGTTTTGGCTGGTAGAAAATGATCCTACAGAATGTTTGAAATATTTAAAGGGTATTGTAGAAGAAAGCTTGCATGAGTGGGAGGCAAAAGACTTCAGTCTTCAGGACTGGAAACCCATTTTTTGTCATCAGCACTAATCTCACCTTATACGAAGATAAAAATTAAAACACACTCCCTTCTTCAGTACGGCATTAAATGAGCTTTTTGGCACAACAGCTGTGTCAAACTCTCACTAGGGCCCTCTGCTGCTCACAGAGTGAAAAACTCCAAACTTGTTTGGGACTCCCAGAAAAGACTTAGAATGCTTAAAACAAGCAAAACACCAATAATCTTGCAAGGGACGTAAAACTTAAGTCCTCAAGGATCAGGACTACATTAGTCTTTACCGATGTGGGCTAAAAAGAGGCTTTTTAATGAGCAGGTATTTTCAAACTGATTGCTGCAGGATATCTTACATTCATGCTGGCTGCTGGCAGGGGCATGGTATGCAAGGCTGCAGCTTATCTGCGTTGACAGTTGTTAATTAAAAACTTCTGATATTCAAGGGACTTTGCTGAGAAAGAAAATGTATTTATTTCATGAGTTTTCTCCTCTTATTGCTAAAAATATTTTTATCAGGGATATAATTTTCCTCTGGTATTATCCACACAGTGTCTAATTTTGTGAGATCACTTGGCTGCTGTGGCACTCAGTACCTTACCAGCAGCAAGCGAAACTTTAGGAAGGAAACAAACTCCAGAAGCAGAATGAATCTGAGAAACCAAAAGTTCCTATTTTTCACAAATACATCTCTGAGAACAGAAGAGAAAGGACAGTTAAGAAAGCAGCCCAACAGGGTATATAGTGACACGATCTCCATTATGATGTTATTTTCCTTTTGCAGAATCCCAGAACCTGAACATTTTTAGGCATGTGACATAATTTCATGGCTAGGAGATGCTCAGCTTTCTGGATGGACCAATACAGCTTTAGTATGTACCCCAACATGCCTCTAAATGTGCTACAGCAAATGAATTTTATGATATGATAGGCATCACAGAAACATGGTGGGATGGCTCCTATGGCTGGAGTGTTGGAATGGAAGGTCACAGGCTCTTTAGAAAAGACAGGCCTGGCAGGCGGGGAGGGGGAGTTGCTATTTATGTTAGGGATAGGCTGGAGAGTATGGAACTCTGTCTGGGGACAGTTGAGCAGTTAACAGAGAGTTTGTGGGTCAGGGTTAAAGGGAGAACAGCGATGAGAGACATTACTGTGGGGATCTGTTACAGACCGCCTGATCAAGGAGAACCTGCGGATGAAGCACTCTATAGACAGATAGGAACAGCCTCATGGTCACAGGCCCTTGTTCTCATGGGGGACTTCAGCTACCCTGATATATGTTGGAGGGACGGTACGGCCCGGCACAAGCAATCCAGGAGGTTCCTCGATTGTGTGGAAGACAACTTCCTTCTGCAAGTGATAGAGGAGCTGACAAGGAGAGGTGCCATGCTTGACCTCATGCTCGCCAACACGGAAGGGCTCGTTGGAAATGTGACTCTCCAGGGCAGCCTTGGATGCAGCAATCATGAGATGGTCGAGTTCGAGATCCTCAGGACAGTGAGAAGAGCGTGCAGCAAGCTCACTGCCCTGGGCTTCAAGAGAGCAGACTCTGGCCTCTTCAGGAACCTGCTTCGGAAGGTTCCATGGGATATAGCCCTAGAGGGCAGGGGGGGCCCAAGACTCTTGGCTGATATTCAAGCATCACCTGCTACAAGCTCAGGAGTGTCGCATCCCAACCAGAAGGAAGTGCATCAGGAGGGCCAGGAGACCTCCTTGGATGGATAAGGAGCTGCTGAGGAAAATTTGAAGGAAAAAAGAGGCTTATAAAAAGTGGAAGCAGGGACAGGCAGCCTGGGAAGAATACAGAGATGTTGTCTGGGAAGCTAGGGACCAGGTTAGGAAAGCTAAGGCCCAGTTAGAATTAAACTTGGCCAGGAATGTGAAAGATAGCAGGAAGGGATTCTATAGCTAAATTGCAAATAAAAGACAGACTAGGGACAACGTGGGCCCCCTCAGGAAGCTATCAGGAGAACTGGCTACCCTGTATTTGGAGAAGGCTGAGGTTCTTAATGACTTCTTTGCCTCAGTCTTCACTGGCAAAGGCTCTGACCACACCATCCAAGACTTGGAAGGCAGATGCAGGGACTGTGAAAATGAAGACCTTGGGCCCACTGTAGGAGAGGATCTGGTTCGAGACCGTCTTAAGAACCTGAACATGCACAAGTCCATGGGACCTGATGAAATCCATGGGACCTGATGAAATCCATTTGCGGGTCCTGAAGGAGCTGGTGAATGAAGTTGCTAAGCCGCTGGCCATCATATTTGAAAAATCATGGCAGTCAGGTGAAGTTCCCGATGACTGGAAAAAGGGAAATATAACCCCCATTTTCAAGAAGGGGAAAATGGATGACCCAGGGAATTACAGACCAGTCAGTCTCACCCCTGTGCCTGGCAAAATCTTGGAGCAGATTCTCCTGGAAGGCATGCTAAGGCACATGAAAATCAACAAGGTGCTTGGTGACAGCCAGCATGGCTTCACTAAGGGGAAATCCTGCCTGACCAATTTGGTGGCCTTCTATGATGGGGCTACAGAACTGATGGACAGGGGTAGAGCAGTTGACGTCATCTACCTGGACTTGTGTAAAGCGTTCAACACTGTCCCACACGACATCCTTGTCTCTAAATTGGAGAGACATCAATTTGATGGATGGACCACTCGGTGGATAAAGAACTGGCTGGATGGCCGCACACAAAGAGTTGTGGTCAATGGCTCAATGTCCGGCTGGAGACCAGTAACGAGTGGTGTCCCTCAGGGATCGGTGTTGGGACGGGTCTTGTTCAACATCTTTGTCGCTGACATGGACAGTGGGATTGAGTGTGCCCTCAGCAAGTTTGCTGATGACACCAAGCTGTGTGGTTCGGTTGATAATGCTGGAAGAAAGGAATGCCATCCAGAGGGACCTTGACACGCTTGTGAGGTGGGCTGATGCCAACCCCATGAAGTTTAACCATGCCAAGTGTAAGTCCTATACCTGGGTCGGAGCAATCCCAGGAACAGCTACAGCCTGGGCAGAGAAGAAATTCAGAGCAGCCCTGCAGAGGACTTGGGGGTGTTGGTTGATGAGAAAATGAACATGAGCCAGCTTCAGTGTGCGCTCGCAGCCCAGAAAGCCAACCATATCCTGGGCTGCATCAAAAGGAGCGTGACCAGTAGGTCGAAGGAGGTGATCCTGCCCCTCTACTCTGCTCTCATGAGACCTCACCTGGAGTATTGTGTGCAGTTCTGGTGTCCTCAACATAAAAAGGACATGGAACTGTTGGAACAAGTCCAGAGGAGGGCCACGAGGATGATCAGGGGACTGGAGCACCTCCTGTATGAAGACAGGCTTAGAAAGTTGCGGCTCTTCAGCCTGGAGAAGAGAAGGCTGCGTGGAGACCTCATAGCAGCCTTCCAGTATCTGAAGGGAGCTATAGGGGTGCTGGGGATGGACTATTCATTAGGGACAGTAGTGATAGGACAAGGTATAATGGGTTAAAACTTAAACAGGGGAAGTTTAGATTGGATATAAGGAGGGAGTTCTTTACTGTAAGGGTGGTGAGGCACTGGAATAGGTTGCCCAAGGAAGTTGTGAGTGCTCCATCCCTGGTGGAGTTGAAGGCCTGGTTGGACAGACCCTTGGGTGACACGGTTTAGTGTGAGGTGTCCCTGCCCATGGCAGGGGGGTTGGAACTGGATGATCTTAAGGTCCTTTCCAACCCTAACTATTGTATGATTCTATGATTTTGTACCATGTATCTGGTCAGTTGTAGAGGTCTGTATGTGCTGCTTGGCTGCATCTGAGTTATTTGGTGGGAGACTGATGCTGACAGTGGTGAGTTTCAGAGACTCACAAAATGGTTTGTATGAAAGTTTTTGTTTCTGCATTAATTAACTTGTGTATTTCGAACACCAACAGATGAAAGTCTATGCAAACGTCCAGCTACAACACTTTTTCTGCTCAGTTTCCTTCCTATCTGCGGCATGGCGTGCTAATTTATTACATATGGGTTAAGTGCTAAAGTGAGCAGTAACCTTGGATGAAAATTTCAGTTTTTTGATTCAGGAACAAATAACTCAAAAGGTTACAAAGCATCAGACTAATACTACAACATTGGCATGCAGATCTAGAAGTGCTTTACTGAAAGAGATTCATTATGCCTCACAAAACCTCTCACCCATGTATTACAGAATGATTGATGAAAGTTGATGAATTAATCATTTTTTGAAGCATAACAAATGTTATACTTTTGAAATGCAAGTTCAGAGCGCTATAGCCCCAATTTTACTTTCAGGGAACAAAGGAATTGGCATATGGAAGATGAGAACACGAAGCCCACATTTTTCACCGTATGCCATGCATTTTTGCACAACTTTTAATCACTATAGGCTTTACAGGGTGTCAAAAATAATGTACCACTCAGCCACAGTGCAAGTTTCATTTGTTAGCAATACTCTTTTCCCCCACAGATCAAATCCACCTATACTGGGAGGAACGACAAAGATTGGTAGAAAAGGAAGTGTTATCACCCTTGGTTTAGCATATAGAAACCATGGCATGAATTTAATAACGTACATAACGTTAGGCAAGAAGCTGATAGTTTAATGAACGAATTCTGGTAAAAAAATTGGAGTATCATGTTCTGTCATAAGCACAAGACACATCACTTAGCCTGAAACACCGTGGGCCCCATTTTCCATTTTGCCGAGCTGTGAAGACCGAATTGTGTGCCCTGGTGCCAGTAGATACTCACCACTGGCAGCACAGCCGTTTAGAACGAAGAATACAAATACAACGATCCTCCTGAGAGCGGGGCCGCAGCGGCTCCTCAGGAAGAACCTCCAGAGCCATCCATGGTTTCTTTCCCCAAGATCTGACTCGCAGAGCGCCTTCCCTCCCCCTCAGCCAGTCCTCAAGAGCTCAGCGATGCCCTTACAGGCCCCAGCGCCCGGGCCGCAGGAGGCGGTTCGGTAACAGCCATGCCTGCCCCAAGGGGAAAGGAAGGGCCTAACGGGCCGGACCTCCCCGTGAGTCCTCTAATCGCTCCGAGCCTTTTGACTCCCGGTGCGGTGCCGAGTCTCGCCTCGTTCACCGGACTGCTCCCATCAGTTACGTTCGGACTGCGGGAATGCAGACACAGTCTGCAGTCGTTCAGCGGGAGATGGAGAAGGGAACTCCAAAGCCCACGGAGAAGCCGCCCTCCACACGCTAGAAGCATTACCCCCCCCCCCCCCCCAAACACACACAACCAGCCAACCCACCCGCCTCTCCCCCACCGGAGGTGAAGGCGGGGCTGCTCAGACGGGTGGGGAGCGGCAGACGAAGTCTCGCGAGAGCGGGCGACGGCTGCCGCCGCCGCGCTCCTCCCCCTGCCGGTCCCGGAGTGTGAGGCCTTCGCCGGGGCCGGGTTACCGCGCGTCGTGCCGGCCGGGCGGTGGTAGCGGCGGGGAGGCGCCGTTGGTAGCGGCGCGGCCGGGGTCCGGCCTCGGCCTAGAGGCGCTGGGCAATATGCCGGGCGGCCGGGTGTGCGCCGCCTGCGGCTGCTCAGAGATCGAGGTGGACGCGGCGCGCGGGGATGCTGTGTGCACGGGCTGCGGCTCGGTGCTGGAGGACAACATCATCGTCTCCGAGGTGCAGTTCGTGGAGAACAGCGGCGGCGGCTCCTCCGCCGTGGGACAGTTCGTGTCGCTGGACGGTGAGAGCCGGGGGGGCGGGGTGGGGCGCACGTGCACCGGGCAGGGGGGTGTGAGGCTTGCGCGTGGGGAGAGGCTGCTGGGAGAGGGTAGAGGGCAGTGTATGTAGGGAGGATGTTGGGGATAGGGGAGAGAGTGGTGGGGGACGGGACAGTGCATGAGGGAGACGGATGCTGTAAGGGGTATGAAGGACAGGGACAGTGCATGAGGGAGAGTGATGCTGTAAGGGGTATGAAGGACAGGGACAGTGCATGAGGGAGAGTGATGCTGTAAGGGGTATGAAGGACAGGGACAGTGCATGAGGGAGAGTGATGCTGTAAGGGGTATGAAGGACAGGGACAGTGCAGCGGGGTGAGGGTGCTGTCGGCTATTGGGGGCAGGGACAAGGCACGAGGGTGCTGAGCCGGAGGGTGAGGCTATGGGGATGGTGCATGGGGTAAGGTGCTGAGGGGTAAGGATAGTGCATAGAGAAAAAGGTGCTGTGTAAAGGGATTGGTGCATGGGGGATAGAGTGTTGTGCAAAAGTGTGGGGGGGACAAGAGTATTGTGCAAAATAGTGTCAAGGATGGTGGAACTAAGTTCCTTTAAGGGACCCTTTCCCTTCTGTGCATGTGGGATAGTGCTGCACGAAGTGGAAATAGGACAGTCAGTGCATGGGGAGGACAGTGTGCTGTGCAAGATGAGGCAGGAACTGGGTTGGGAGGAGTCTGGGATGACTGAGGAAAAAGATGGGAGAGATGCTTTAGGTGATGGGAGGAGGTGCATGAGGGACTGGAGCTCTGCCTGCTTTGGGGGGGGGGGGGGTATATGAGAGAAGGCTTTGGGCTCTGTATGGAGAGACTGGGGAGATACATGAAATTATTTGGAGTAGAGGCCAGGAGAGTTGGGTAGAGGGAGTATGTGGAAGCACAGGGGTGGGGTGGTGGAGAAGGAGGCTGGAAGGGTCAAGAGGCATCTTCTGTAAATAGGTAGGTAGGGGTGTTTGTGTGAATGCCCTGGAGGATAAGGCCTGTGTGCCTGGAAGAAGGCCATGTGAAGTGGGCATTGGGTTTGGAAGGAGAGAGAAGGAAAACTGATGTGGGCACTGTATATAAGGAGAAAGAAGCATAAAGAAGAAACGGGAAGGAACTTAGCAGTGAAACAAGGGGGACTGATGGATTGTATGGCTGTGGTGAAGACAGAAGAGTTGTGATGGGGAGGGCAGCACTAGATTTTGGAGTTCAGGAGTTTATTGTAGACTAGGCTTTGTCTGATGCTATTTGTGTCTTCCAACTCAAGGTGCTGGTGTTATTTTATTTTATTTTTATAGCTTATGAGCAGCTCTTGTAGCCTCCACATCACCACAGGAAAAGTGAAGGGTACTTTTTTAAGGGCTTGTACTGCTTTTTACCTCCCACCCAAAACTACGCAGGACAGATGGCGTGCAAGCTAGAGTACATTTTGGGATGCCTTTACCCTACAAAAAAAAAAAAATAAAAGGAAAAGAGAGAGCTGCACCATACTCTGGCTTTTTCTTCTTCTAGATGAATTGCATGGTACTTTCCTAAGTTCCTTTAAGGAACCCTTTCCCTTCTGTGCAAGTCCTGAGATGCTGCTGTTGGCTAATATTTTTTTTTATGGATAGTGCAGTAATTCTTGGATTTTGTATAGCTAGATAGTTGCCTTACTATACAAAAAAAACAATTCTAGCACCCACGGAGACAGATAAGCTCAGTGGGGATAGGTGGGTGAGTAAAAGTGGAAATGGGAGCACACTCTAGCATGCTTATACTGGCTTTATCTGGCTGCACAAGGTGTGGTTGCAGGGACTTCACCATGTGTGAAAATCTTCCTACTCTGATTTTCTAGCAAGTCCCCATTTGCATTAATGTATGTATTTTGGTGAAGTGTTGTTTGTGGAAACAATAGAGCAGGACTTTCGAAACAACACTTTGTAAATTTACTAAGTTACTGCAAGGGTTAGTGCAGGTACTGTTTCACAGTAAACATTTTAAGGAAGTTTGGATACGGGTTGTTTGTGGTGGTATAATTCTTTATGTTTGAAAACAGATGCTTCTGTTGTGAATATTTTTTTTTTGCTTGACTTGAACTGAGTGATGCAAGCCAGTTTGAAAAGATGTATTTGTGCTGTGATAACAGTGTCTTCATGATCTGTGCTTGTCCATTATGCTTGTATGACACTGATTTAAGTCCTTGGGAATGGGGAGAAAAGTCTTTTCTTGTGTAAGCAAGGTAGAGTTTGTATCTCTGAATGTTGTGCTGGGTAGAGAATTTCTGACAGAATTTATATTGTCAAAAAACATGTACTCGCTGAAAGCATTTTCTGGTAAGCCATAGTTTTCAGTGACTTCTGATTGTGTAAGCAGGTTCCCATCAAACTCTTTTTAACATCTTTTCCTGTCCTCTGTTAGCTCTTCAGGTCTATGGCTCTGAGGGATCCCCTGTGTATGAAATACCTTGGGCTCAGGTTCCTCAGACTGCAGTCTGGTGATCACAGGCAGCCCTAATGTGTGGAGCGTTTGCAGTGTCAGAGGTGCTCAGGCTACTGTTTCTGAGACCATGGCTGTTGGTCAGTAGGGCTGTGTGACTTGGAGACTTTTGTCTAGGTTTTGCAAAGTATGAGGGCTGTCAGGTTCTCTGTTGCACAGGTGGCAGTTGAATAGGAGTCTTGGTGTTTGTGGAGTTCAGAGCCCCTGGATGTGCAACAAGATTCCCAAACCCTCCCAAGATACACGAGGGCTTCTGTTTGTGTGTTTATATATGTCAAATAGTTATAGATCCCTTTCTTCATAATTTAATCTTCATAAAGAAGCAAAAGAGAATGGAAAGCACTGAAGTCAACTGTTACTGACTTCTCTTTGGTACATCTAGCGAAATATTTTATTTTCCCAAGCAGCCTGTTAAGGATGCAGAATCTTGCATTTGTTTGCTGAAGGAGGAAGAAAGTCCTGCGCTTTTCTATTTTAATACAAAGTTGCCTGTCTAGGGCATGCCAAGTCCTTGCTAGTAAGCCCAGCAACCCCACTATAAACCATGGGAAATCCCTTCTTTTGTTCCTTCAGGGCTGGAGGAAGGTGTAAGGTCACAGTTAAGTGTTCCCAGGCAGTATTTACATTTAGTTGTCAATGTATCTAGCGTAGGGAGCCACAGTCTCACCACTGATGCCTTTCATTCAGAAGTTTGGTATAGCCAGTGTTTTCCAGAGCAGGTGTGTGAGTCTGTTTCTTTCCATTGTTTTGACAGGTCTAACAGCTGAGCATTGGTGTGCTGAGAAAGCATGGCTTGTGCTTGAAACTGAGTGAGAGGCTTAGCTTTGCTGATGCATGAAAGTCTGAGGAAATGCAGGCTAGTTCAGTCTGTTGGGCAGAGGGTAGAAGCAGTGAAGGACGGAACAGGAGGCTGTAGAGGTAAATTTGGGTGAAGTATTTTTTTGGCAAAGTGGCATGCCTTGCAGATCTGTTGGAGCCTTCTAAAGAAGTCAGTAAGTGGACAAAGCAGACTGTTGGATTTGTGAAGGGAGGTCAGCAAGATCCTTCACAAGAAGCTTGTGAAGAATCTGGGCTGTTGTGGATAAGGGAAAGTCCTTACAGAGCAGAGTAACTACTCAAATTATAAGAAAATAGAATAGGAATAAATAATAAGCCTTCTTCAGGAGTAGCCAGTGAAAGCTCCATATAGTCAGGGCTGATGATCTGCAAAACAGGTGAATGGTGAGTTAATGAGGTTTGCTGGTAGTATGATTTGGGGTAGTGAATCATAGAATAGGTAGGGTTGGAAAGGACCTTAAGATCATCTGTAGATGTAGAAGGACCTGTTGCTTTTAGTATCTGAGTAGTAGGGTAGCAGATGAGATTAAGTGTGGCAGTGAGAGTTCGGATTGTTCCTTTCTTCCACATGTGGGATGGCAGCATCTGGTCTGGCTAGTACAGTTAGGGAAGGAGGTTACTAGGTCTTAATGGCTAGCTCTGTAAAAATGTTTAGCTCAATGTTCATTCACAGTACAAAAATGCAGAGCAGGAAAGAGAATATTAGAAGTTATCAGAAAAAGAATATGACAGCATATGCATACACTATTACATATCCACAGCACTATCTGCAACTAATACTGTGTGCAGTTCTGATGTGTTTTTGTCTTGTGTCTCCTCAAGAAAACCTCTAACACAACTGGAAAAGACACACCAAGGAAGATGGGGTGATTAAGAGGAGGGCTTTGTGAATAGCTTGTGTTAGAATGAATGAATAGATTCAGATGATTGAATGGGAACATAGTAGAGGTCTGTAAATACCGCAGAATAACATGGTAAGGATGAGCTATTGTTCAGTATCACATAATGAAAAAACTAGGGAGTGCTGAGAAATCTAGCAGGTAGCTTATTTTGAAAGTAGCAAGTAGGAGGTTCAGAAGTGTTAGGTTCTTGTGTGTTTGTTCGTTTTTTTTTTTCATAAAAGACATTTTATGAAATGTCACCACAATCTTAAGCTGTAGGTGTTAAAAGTTTGTACCAGTCAGAAGATGGTTGGACAAGCAGAATAAAAATGTGTCATGGCCCCTAAAAATAAAAAAAAAAGCTGGTATTTCTGGGTCAGGAAATTCTTGAGCCACAGATCTCTAGGCTCTAGGAGATAATGAGAGAACTGTTGTAACAAGCTTTCCTCCTGTGTGTAGTGTTCACTTGTAGTCATATATGTTAATGGACTTTACTGTTCAGAGGTAGCACACTGGACTAGACAGCTTTCTGATCTGACCTGGCACAGCTGTTCTTGAGTCTTTGGGGGTGATCATGTTAATTGAGCTCTGCAAAGATGCTTTTGAGGGTTTTGACCCTTCTTTTAAAACTGGTCCAAGACTCAGGGAGCTATGGTTTTACAGCATAAACTGTAGGTGTCCTTAGGTATTAATACTGCTTTTTTGGTGGTTTGTTTGTTTGAGGGTTTGTTGTTTTGTGGTTTTTTGTTTGCCTTCTTTTTCTTTTTTTTTTTTAATTTTGTTTGTGTTTTGGAA